TATTACAGGTATCATTTTGTAATTAATTATGTGTTTAACAGGGGAACAATTCTTATTTGGGTAAAATTTAGTAAACTGTAATAATTGTTAAGTTATGTGGGTAGTTTTTTCATTTCATTGTCAGGGCATTTCATTTTATTTCGTAGGGCAATAATTAATAATTAGAATTACAGTCATAAAAATCAATTATTGTAAATCTAGCCACAACAACTAATAAACTAAGCCCCTCTGGTTTATGATCATAAGAATCAAGTGTCAAAGTCCTTTATTATTTTAGGGTTTAGGAAACCAATAACCTGCTTTTGAGGCTATAAATTGTCGCCTTTTGCGTTCGTTTAGATGGTAAACCGATGTTTGAATTGTATTATATTTATTTGTCAAGTCCTAATGTTAAGTAAATTACGGTAATAATATTTTCTTTCATTCTGTATGATGCAAAAATGGGTAAAGTCATGTCTTATTTCTAAACGTTGAGAATTTGCTTTTTTTGGGTCCTTTTAAAGATTGAATATGTACAGAGGCGGGTAACGATATAATTTTAGGTATTATGTTTAGGTAAACGGACAAAATAGGCTCATCTGGGCATCACTTTAACACATAGGTTATAGAACTCCGGTATAATTGTTATCCTTTTAGAAAAATGAGGTGAGATTGTGGTGGAACTACAGCTTGTGGTTTCGGAGCTGTCATTTATAGCATTGACTTGTCGGTAATTAGAGCAAAAGAGCATTGCGCCGAAAAAGAGCCTTGAGCCACCCATAGTATGTGCAGAACCTCAATAGTAGGGCCTAAAAATGGTACATTTTCTCACGTCTGTGGACATAAAAGCCTGATAGAGGCTAGGATGGATCTTAAGAAAAGATACCCCAAAAGTGGGCCTAACGGGCATCCCCCTTTATATCAGGTGTTCTGTTGTCATACAAGTTATTGTTATATATGCAGTGCCGAGCACAATCGTAAAATACGGTATTGGGATATCAGTGGAAAGGTGTTAGGCAAGATGAGTTTAAACTCCTCATTTACATAATTATATAATATTAATAATATAATAATACTCTCCCTAATTCACCCCCTTACGAGTGAATTTTAACCCCGAAAGCTAAGCTTGTGCGGGGAAAGGGATGGCTATTATTATTATTTGCCGTGGCGCTCCGGGGCGACTTAAAGATGATTGATGGTGCCATTTGACTTACAGGTGAGGAAAACCCGGAAAACCTCACCCACCATCATCGAGACGGTAATGTATGGAAATTTTTTATAATCTGCATGTCATATCAACAGAAATTGAATTTCTATTAATACGGCACACATCAAATCCTATATCGAACTATGCAATTTAATTAAAAATCCACATGGTCTGGTCTGGGATTCGAACCCCAGCAGTCTCTGATACATAAACTTGCTTATAAATGAATATAAGCGCGTTAGACCGCTACACCACCGACCCGATAATATACATATTCATATCTCACCATACTCTTCGTGATACCGCTGAACTTCACTATATCAGACAATACGTATGCAGGTATTATATTAGCAGTGTGTATGATTGTGAACTATAAAGGGATAACAAATATGCTGTAGTACTGTCATCATACTTTCACCGGTTCATGGAGGCTTAATATACCTTCGGTTAGAAATGAGACATGGAAAAGGCCACACATGTGTTATGTTAAAATAAACAAACATTATTGTCAACTCCCCGCTATAAGAAATAAGTTAAAATAAAACAATTCTTAATCTATTTTTGTGTTTATTTTTTTGACCCTCCATTACAGCTACATTGAACTCGTAAGCGAAATTTTGGGGTCCTACAAAACACTTCGTGGGTATCTACTAGACGTATTTGTAGGCTAAGGTTTGAATATTGGTAAAACTAAGTTAGGATCCGGTTTGTCAGGTTACGATTCAATAAAAAGACAGCTGCAAATCTGCTTTATCCACCAGTCGCATATTTATTGTGTAATCTAACACAATCTGGTTTCATAATTCTCTCTTGCGTTCTGTGATTCACTTTACCACTGTCCATTGGCCTTCCCTCATGAATTGCACATCTCCCTTGTCTTTCCATTTCAAAGCCAGCGTTTGCCTACATTTCTTTAGTATTATTTGGCCACGTGTAAGCCTGGGAAATGTAGGAAAATGTTTTTTATTCTTCTTCACTGTACCACAAAATCCAGTTCTATGTTGGGACAAATATTGTGTTAATGCAGGATTAGTATACCAGTTATCTGTATACAAAATATGTCTTTTTCCTTGGTAGTTTTCCATGAGTCTCTTGACAATAGCTCCTGCCACACCAATTGGGTCGTTTTGTGGTATATCTTGTGCCAAACCAGGATGGACTAATACTTTCAAAATAATTCCTGTCTCACAGTCACAAAGTAGAAATAATTTTAACCCAAAACGATGCGTTTTGGATGGAATATACTGCTTGAAACAAGCGACTCATCAATACATAACTTCTGAAACGGTGAAAAAAAAAAAAAAAAAAAAAAAAACAGAAAATTTATTGTTTTCAAAAATAGCTCGAATTTTCTGTCATTTTCTGGTAGATTCTCATTATTTGCAAAATGTATATAACGTGAGAAAGCAGCAACTCTATCACGAACCATGTATATGCCAAAAAAGTCTGTTCGAAGCATATTTTTTTTGACCAATTTTCAGCAATTGTTATTTTTTTATCTGTGGCATTAGTGAAACTAAAGCAAAAAATGTATACATTCACCCATCGTTTCTTCCTTGATCTTGGAGGCTCTTCATCATTTTGTGTACAAAATTCGTAGTATCTATTCGTTTCAGTCACAATTAGATTCATAATGTCTAAGTCAAAGTATTTTATAAAATAGTCATATTCTGTAGCATTATTTGCTAATGTAAATAATTCTGTTACACCTGCATCTACATCATCAAAGTTATAAACTTTAGCATGCAAATGTTCCCTATTTTTCCATATCCAGTTTGGTTCACCTTCTTCTCTAGATCTTTCATCTTCAGTATCATATTCTGTTTCACTACTTTCTTCTTTGTCATTGCTAGAATCACTACTGGAAATTGTTCCCTCCTCTTCAGTGCTATTATCAGAATGATATCTTTTAAATGTGTGTTGTACAGATGAGTGTTCAGATGCTATGGAAGGTACATCCATTATAATCCTAACAAGCTGTATGAAAATATTTATCAAACAACCTAACAATACTCGCTTGGCAAAAGTAAAACCAAATCGAGCAACATAAACTTCAATTGCATTTATTTATCAGAACATAAGTAGGCTTTATTTTTGTTTCTCAAACTACCTAAAGGAGACGGGCGAGCGCAATTTGCACTATAATAGTAGGGGATCCTTATACAGTCGTTTCTTAAAAGAAATATGTATTATTTCTTGTTATAGATAAATGCCTGTAGGCCGTTTAGCTATAAAAAGTATTGATGAGTGCTGTAATACAATATACTATTAGAAAGTTGTCAATAAGCACCTCCCAGACATTCAAGTAATTAACAAAATATAAATCGTCTATTGACGACCACCAGAATACAATGCAACTTATGTAAGTCGCCCACTGACGATTTCCATAGTGAAAGGTTTAAATTACAGATCATGCAGAATATTGACCAACTCTACAGAAATTCATTATACTGTATCTTACATTATTACATATACATTTAGAGATCATTTGTGAATTAGGCTGTATATCTGATAAAAATACTGAAAAATACCATTATATACAAAATCTAAATCCAATTAAAAAATAATAAACAATTTTTCATGGTTTTATAAAATATGCCCTTTACCAATATAATATATAAATATTTCGCCATCAACAAGGATTCAGGTTCTCATCTGAATATTGTATAAATTGTTCCACGAGAGGGCTGACTTGCCAATACAAATATGGAATAACATTAAGTGATGCACTAATATATTTTGAAAATACTGGCAATGGTTTTCACTCAATTAACAAGTTCTGTGATATGTAAAATAACATGTTTAACAACAATTTAGATTGACAACAACTAATATGAAATATCTCAAAAAGTAGAGAAAAAAGAATTGGCAGGAAAAAAAAATTAAAATTGAATTAAGTAAATGTAAATTTCTTTACACCATTGAATAGAAAATTAAAAGTCTTTAAAATCAACAATCACTATTGCAATTTAAAATTATCTTGATAATCTTATAATATTTAGTACCTCTGTACTGCCGTGCTAAGGAATAAGGTTGTATCTGCAGTTTTTTTTTTTTTTTTTTTTCTAAGAAAAACGTATTTTTATGAATAATATAGTTTTTTCGGTAAAACTTCAGTTAGCGCCATGTGTGTACCTATAACATAACGAAAATAGTTGAGAATTCTTTTTTTTTAACAAGTTTCCAGTATTATTTTCAAGGTCACACATCTAGGAAAATGCAGATATGACATTTCTCTTTAGTTTTATTTATTATTATGCTAATAAAAATCGTCATAACTGTCAAAGTAATATATTAAACTCTCAAAATATAATGCACATTAAACATAGTCAGGTAATAACCTGGGTAATAATAAACTACACTTAAAATTTAGTTATTCACTTAATTCTGTCGTATCTGGTAGTAAATTTGTAACATAGGACAATGCTTCACATCAGTCACAACTTTTTGAGTTATGACAATAAAAGAATTGGTCATATCTGTCATATACGATAATTTTTCTTATTATATGCTACATGCGACATATTTCATTGGGACCAGTGGCAATTTTGCAAATAAGACTTATTTTATTAGCTCATATGAACAGCTAATTTTCATCTTACGACATTTATTTCTAGTACGATAGGTGTAGAATGATGCAGAAATACTTAAACTATAAAAAGTAATTTTTGACGAAAGTGTCAGATATGACCTTTTTGCTTAGGAGGGCAGTGTAACTGTAAAGATATACCTAAGAACAATTATATTTTATAATGGTACAAATGTAAAGCACAGCAAAGTATTGTAATGTAAGTGGACTTGCCCTGTAACTTACCTGAGTAGCAGCATCATGAATGTCATCCACTCTTTCTTCTACCACCACACAACTCTCAAATTGACTTTGTGTATTATCCACAATCTGAGTGTCAGCTAGATGAAGCGGATTCTCCACAATCTGTGTGGCTTCTTCATGAATATTTAATA